CGAAACTCGCCGGGAAGATGGCCAAGATGGGCCAGCCGCTGACCTACCGCGAAATAAGCGAGATGATGCGGGAAGCCGACACCAACGGCGACGGCGTCATCAGCTTCAATGAGGTCGAGAAATCGGCGGTTGTTTGATTACCTTGGATTGCCCGTTGCCTAGGTTTGTGCTGCGCTTCTTTTTTTATTCATTTCCCCCTTTGTTTTCAGCTTTTTCTCGTGTTCATTCTATTGAAAAATTTGGGAATTTTTGCAATTTATTGGATGAAACATATTTTTCTTCTGAAATTGATTATCTGTTTGTTCGAAATCTCTCTATCAGGTTGTTACGATTTATATTGTGTTAAATTACGTTGGTTCTTAAGAATCCTTGTGGAAATTGGAATTGAAACTCAGATTGAAGTAAATAATTTCTACTGCTTGGCTTAATTATCTTTTGAATTGGAATTTTTTGTAGCTGTTTCTTCTCTCTCTCTCTTTTTTTTCTTTCTTTTGAAGTTCTGGGGAATTTTGGTATCTGTATGATAAAACTGAGGTTCATTTTCTGCTGAATTGGATTATCAAGTTGTTGCTGAATCAAGGAAGGGGATATAAACTGAATGATGGATTTTTCATTTATGGAAATTCAGTATCTGTTTATATTGATAATGATTTTTTGAAGAGTAATGCAACAATCATTTTTTTTTTTTTTCAAATTCTCTTTCGCAGGCTGTTTCGACCTTCATCGTGTTAATTTCTTTTGGTCCTTAAGAATCCAAGTGGAAAATGGAAGTGAAACTCGAGTGAAGTAAATGATTTCGCATGCTTGGCTTAATAATCGGTTAAAGATGAATTTCAATAGCTTTTTTCATCTCGTGATTTTTCTTTTAATAAATTTGCGGAATTTTATAAACCGTTTAATGAAATTGTGATTATCTGTTTGATTTGCTGTTTTGTTAGGTTTGCTTTGATTTTGGAATAAGGAAAAACACAGAACAAAGCAAATCAGATAGCTGCTCCTCCCGCCCGAGCTCGAGCTGATTACGATTACCTAATCAAACTCCTTTTGATCGGTGATAGCGGTGCGTGTTTTTTATTTTTCAATAATTATCATAATTTTTGTAATTTTTCATTTTGTTGTTGCTGGAGCTGATATGAAATGTTTGTTAATCAGCTTATAGATTTTAATTTGGCATTTGTAATGTTTATGTACTCATTATAATAGTTATGGTAGGATTATATTGATGCTAAATTGCTAATAATATTTTGTTTGGTCCTTCAATGTACAGATGGATAATCGAGTTTTCTTGTGGCAGCCTATGGATGTGTGTGTTTTATGTCAGGTTATTCAGTGAAAGCTTTGTATGATTGATTACATATGCCGTGTTTGTTAGAAGTCATTGTGTTTTTCGTAAGATGTATGATTTAAAATGTTGTTTTCTACATGTCTGGACACTGATTCAATAGATGTTGGTTGAGAAACCTATGGAAAAAAAAATGGCAAATTGATTGTGATTTGTGATTTGGGGACAAAAATTGGCTTTTGCCGATGATAAAGCAAGTGCTGGAGTGGAACTGATACTGAAATAGAAGCTAATCTTCAGGCAATTAGGTGGGCTTTAAATCTTGCTGTGGACAAAGGATGGCTTGAAGTGCACTGCTCCTTATTGTTTGAAAATTTGGCTGCTGCTTTGAATCAGGGTGTGGCAGATGATTTATTTGAGGATATTATTGTTTTGAAGTTTTTATTTTCTTGTGTATAGTTTTAGTGGCTCAGAGTCCTTAGTAGTTAGATGTGGGTTAGCCAAAATGGCTTTGGCAGGGGGATAATGTGCATTCCCCTGTGGGTTACCTATCTTAGTTAGTTGATAGGGATGGTATGTATTGTTCAGTTGAACTCGAACTTGTATCTTGTGAGATTAATGAATTTGTATTCATTTGAAAAAAAAAAAAAGATGATGATAAACCTGCACAAAAGCCTTATTGAAACATAATTGTTCACTGATTAAAAAAAAATTATTAAAAAATTTCCTAAAATATCCAAGAAATTCAATAGTCAAAATAATAAGATTGAGTAAATTTATAGTCAAAATATACGTATTTACCAATTAATATTTTTATAAAATTTACTCAGTCTTAATAAGACTATAATTGGTAAATCTTTACTCAGTCTTATTATTTTGACTATAAAATTTATACGTATTTACTAAATATTTTTACAAAATATACGTATTTACCAACTTTATAAAATTTTTTTATAAAAATTTTATTTTTTATAAAATTTATTTACTCAGTCTTATTGAATATACGTCCGCACGCAGAAAAAATTGAATATTTACAAGATTCGTAATTACCAATTAGAAAGCAATATGGTAAAAATATCGTTCTACCATGACGAAGTTGAAACTCATAATTAATAAGAAGACGAAGGTCTTGGAAATTTCTTCCGATTTTTCTACATTTAATTTTGACTTCTGTAGTTTCTCTATTGACAATGTGGATGAATCATTTCTTCTTGGTAATTGTTTAATTTAATGTGAATTCAAATACTTTTACAATTTTTATTTTCATTTGACACTGCTTAATAAATTGTTGATCGAATTATTTTGATATTGTAGAAATTGGTATGGTCATTGAGATTCAACCCATTCAATCAAAATTGGTTCATGGAGGAAAGACTCAAATGATCCCATTTTCTATGATATATTGCGAGTAAAGGGAAGACCATGACAATGGGTTGGTTTGTTTTACTTTAATTGCAAACTCCAAATTATTACTCTCAAGTTACATGTTTTTTTATAATTCAATTATCATTTATACTTGGTCTTTATGCCTAAAAAAACGTACAATAAAAATTATAATATTTTTTTTCTCCAGTTACTTAATTTAAAAGTTATTTTTTTTGCTTATTTAATTGATTTAGTTAAATAAATTATTTAAATTCGTAATATAATTCAGAAACTGCATTTAATATAACATTATATATAAAAATTTTAATAGGAGAAAATATACTACATAAAATAATATTCTAAATATAGGAAAAAAAGAAAAATATGAAAATTGTAATTTTAAATAAAATATAAACTATAGTTATACCAATTTTCTTTGGTATATGTTTGCTTTATATATTATTCACATGTTACTTAAAATTATTTTTTTGCAATGATATTTGATTTGCAAGACTGTGGCTGGTGAGGTCATATTTATATCAACTTTTAACTAAATCAGTTAAAAAAGTATAATATTTTAAAATTATTGACTTAACGTATTGCAACTATGTAAAAAAATATATAACTTTGTAATAAGGTCTGCGATTTTAAGGAATATGTCAAATAATATCATATATCTATTTACCTAAATCGGAGGTTATATTTCCCTTTTGATTAAAATATACAAATTGAAAGCATATTATAGTGGTATAATACTGCGTTTATTTATTTACTTTATATAAAGATATGTATGTATATATATATATATATATGTATATATATATATATATATTAACTTAATAATACTTACCTAATTGCATAGATTCAATTAAAGGAAAATCTCAACAATTTTATATTTGTTACACGTTCGAAATAGTTAGTGTTAACATATTGGATTAAAAAAAATAAGAACATAAAAACTTTTGGGAACCTCAAATTACTAACATTCTTTATTACCATTTTTTAAAAGAAAATCATATATTTAAGAGATAAATACAGAATATTATTGGAATAGTTTTTATTACCACCAAAATCGGAAAAAAAAAATCAAGTCTTAGGATATTCTTGGGATATGACCCGATTTCCCTCAAAATTGCCGAAAAAAATCAAATCAAGTAATAAGCTTATATCATATAAATCCACATTTTAAAACTTAGAAAATAAGTGCATATATATGCACAAAAATTTCATCTATAAATAAACTCATATTCCTGGTAAAATGAAATCTAATACTAATCATAAACTCACACATTCAAAATAAGGCATGGATCAACCCTTGATCTAATCAAGGATTTCAAATGAAATACGAAGGTCATCTTGAAACTTCCAGCAGCATCTTTAAGACGATGTTTGATGCTTCTTACAGAAGTTATTTGGAAATAGTTTTTCACGATAGTCATGTTAGTGTTCTTCATTATATGATTTAATAGTAGCTGTCAATATTTATTATTTTAATATTTTTGACGAAAATATTATTTTTGTTTTGCGATTTTACAGGGTGGCCACATAACTGGACTAATTCGTGATGTTAACATTACAAAGATGAGTGACAAGTTTGAGGATGGTAGAAAATAACATTGGTAAATAACAATCTATTACTGCAAAGTGTTGGAGTATCCTACCGATTTCCCAACGTTTTATTTTGACTTCTGTAATTTTGCTACGCAGCAAGACGTTGACAATATGAATTTTCAAAAGCAAATGGTTATGTTTTTAATTTTATTTTTTCAAATATATAAACATACGTGTGGGTGTGTTTTACTATAGTTCTCTACGTGTTATGTTATTAACGTATATCTCATCGTTTAATATAAATATTAATATGTATCTCTTACCCGTGCATCGCACGAGATTCGTACTAGTTGTGTATAATATGTATAAATAATTAAATTAAATTAAATTAAATAGATTACAATATATTTTTTTCACTTTTTTCTTTAAATTTACAAGTAGAGGATGTTTGTCAAATATGAACCCCGCCAATTTCCCTCTTCAGCCATCCTTCCATGATTCTATTATTATTTCCAGGGAGGGAAGATACAAAATATGGAAATAAAAGACAGAAAATTTCCTCCTCCTCTTCTTCTTCTAGTTTTTCTTCCATTCGTATTTCCTTTTCTTTTTCTTTCTTTAAGTTGAATAAACGGAAATAAAGAATTTCTGGTTTCCCTCCACATTGACCTCTTCCTCGTGAAAATCCTTTTTATTGCAAAACCATTTTGTGCTTATCATTAATTTCCCAGAAATTAAGATCGGATTTAGACCAAATTTTCGCTCTATATGCAATTGATTTGATATTGGTTTGGCTGCTGCTATGTTTAACGCACCATTTGCCCTCTCATTAGCCCTTTTGCTCTCCTTCCCATTGCTTTTCCTGTTTGCCCCTCACATCCTCCCTCCCAAACCCGCCCGCATCTCGCTCCCCGACGAGCTCGACGACATCGCCCTCTTCCGCCGCGCCACCCTGGCCTCCCTCGACGGCGGCGGCGTCCCCAAAATCGCGTACCTCTTCCTCACCAACACGGATCTCCATTTCGCCCCTCTCTGGGACCTCTTCTTCCGGGGCAACGAGGCCCTGTACAACATCTACGTCCACGCCGACCCCTCCTCCGGCGTCACGCCTCCCGGCGGAGTCTTCTCCGGCTGCCGATTCATCAGCGCGAAGAAGACCCAGCGCGCCTCCCCTACCCTCATCTCCGCCGCCCGCCGCCTCCTGGCCACCGCCCTCCTCGACGACCCTTCCAATTCCTATTTTGCCCTCGTCTCCCAGTACTGCATCCCTCTCCATTCCTTCACATACATGTACGCCACTCTCTTCCCCAAACCCTCTTCAACCCTTTTCCCCAGCTTCATCGAGATCTCGTCCGATCAGCCCGTGCTTTGGGACAGGTACATCGCCAGGGGCAAAAACGTCATGTTGCCCGAGGTGCCTTTCAACAGGTTTCGGGCCGGGTCGCAGTTCTTCGTTCTGGCCCGACAACATGCGGTGGTTGTTGTGAGGGACAGGAGATTGTGGCGCAAGTTCAGGCTGCCGTGCTTGAATCTGGATTCCTGCTATCCGGAGGAGCATTATTTTCCTACGCTGCTGTCAATGGAGGATCCAGATGGATGTACCCATTACACGCTGACCAGGGTTAATTGGACGGGGAGTGTTGGCGGGCACCCGCATATGTACGGGCCTGAAGAGCTTTCGGCTAGTCTTATTTATGAGCTGCGTTTGTCGAATTCGAGCTATTCGTTTATGTTTGCGAGGAAGTTCTCGCCTGATTGCTTGCAACCGTTGCTGGATATCGCGGGGAAAGTCATTTTCCAGGATTGAAATTGAGCCGGGTAAGAATATAATCATTAATCTCATTAATCATTCGGCCTTAGTGCATATTGAGTTCATTTTTGTTTTGCTATGGCATTTCTGATTTCTTTTGTCTCTGTTGGTAATATGATTTGCAGTAATAGTTGGGTGTTTTCGGATTTTTGCTTCACAGGGAATGAGAAAAGAAAACTACTCTGAGTAGCCATTTTTTAGCATTTATGAAATCTTTTGATGTGGTTCTTGCTCTAATACAAGGTCAAAACTATTTAAATTTTTTCCCATTAAAAAGAAATATTGCCTTAAGTGAAGTGGCCGCTAGAAGATGGCATACGACATGATTTTCTATGTTTAGAAGTTTCATTTATGTTATTGACCTTAAATAATCATATGATAAGTTTTCCCAGTAAAAAGAAATATTGCCTTAAGTGAAATGGCCGCTAGAGGATGGCATACGACATGATTTTCTATGTTTAGAAGTTTCATTTATGTTGTTGACCTTAAATAATCATATGATAAGTTCTGTCTACAATGGTCACGGCAATATATGATCAACCCACATAAATACGAACTACTTAATTTGATCAGTGTCATCATGTTTTGAAACATCTAGTTACATGGTTCCCATGATTTTTGTATAGTATGAAATTGTACTTCAAATTTATGGTTGTGGCACATAAGATATATATCATACTCTCGTAATACTATCTGCGCATAGTATGTAATGCATTCCGCATACCTACATCTACACTGAAATTAGTTTCAAGATCGTGCATTTCTATGCTATTATCATCTCTGCTCATGCTTCAACCCATTTGTTATCCATTACTGGATATTGCATGTATTCTAATGAACCTCTTTCTTTATCTTTTATTTTTTTTCCAGGTCCCAGTGTTGGAGAGAATCTCCAAATAAGGAACCGGAACAATGATAAAAGCCAGCAAAGGCAGAGGGAATCAGGTTTTGCTGTTGTCTGTTCGTAATCTAACATAAAAGCGAACTTCTAGAATTCAAAGGCTGAATGGAGGTTTTGTTGTGTGGTGGAGGTGCAGCGGTGGAGTAGAGGCTTATAGTGGAGTCCCGACATGCAAAGTAAAACAAATATACCAAAAGGCTCGTTGTCTTCTTCCATGATTTTCGTTTTTGTTTTGAGCAAAATGAGTCCATCGTCTCCCATTTGCTTCTCCCCTGCCACCCTAGAAATTGTGTATAGTTTTCTGTTTTTTTCCCACTTTTTGTGAGATGCCAATGTTGGGGTTCTTAGGTTTTAATAGGTGAACCGAGGAAAAAGAAAATCACACATTTATTTATATATATAATGGTAAATTTGTTTTAGTTGTTTTGGAGATAGTTTATCTCAATGCTTCGGCTAAATATGAAAATGATTTTGGGCTAAAGTTTTTATTTTTATTCATTGTTTCCAAATCTATGAGGCAAGTATCTATGGTAGTACTATTTTTATACGCTTACGTACCTTGATGGGATAGAATAATTTTGTGACATGGTGTTACAATAATACACAAAATAATCTACTTAAAATAACATCTACTTCGTAATTATTCACTCCAAGAGCACTTCTTGACCATTGACAACATAGAGGCTAAAATAACATCTATAAGAACTGCTTGCAGAAACAAACATGGGTGATACTAGCAAAGGGTTAACCTTACATGAATAAAGAACACGCTCACCTAATAATATTTCCTTAAATTTGTTTGTTTGAATAAAAGTCTCCCATTGATTTATCATACTCGAGAAATGTCGAGGATCGACTTTAGACGATCAGGCTTCCAGGGTTTCTTGGTTGTTTGCATTAACAAACGAGCCAACGGTTTTGAACCAACGCATGAGATTCCTGTGATCTTTCACATATAGCCAAGCTTGCAAAAATGGGAACAGCTTCTCGTTTACGCCTCGCGCTTCTATATAGCCATGGAGTGCATCTCGAACCTTCTCATCAATATCTCTGTCAGTTGTTAAATGCATAGAGGTAATCAGTTTAGACATTGTAAGTGGAGTTGATCACAAATTTCAAGGGAAGTAACATGAAATGCTTATAAATTTCTGGTTGACATATTTTGAAGTGGAAGCAACAGTAATGCAGCAAAGCCACCAGCTTCACAAATATACCAAAAAATAACTGTCTTCCAAAATTATAACATGAAATCATAGTATGATATTAACAACTTGGGTTTAAAGTTTAAACAGAGAAAAATGTCAGAGCAAAAAGGAACCAACCAACTTTGTCCATAAAATTTTAAACTAATAGTGTTGGAAATTATTCATTTCAACTCGGGAAACTATGGGAACCTGCCCATTAGCACTCAATAAGCTGTGACTTCAAAAGTTAGAAAAATATATCCTTCACATTGGTTCCTCTTCAACAAACTCCACACAATCAAATCCCAATCCATAATTCATTAGTTGAAGAGAAAAAACTCCATTTGAGAGACCAATCCGGTCCATAATTTTTTTAAAAATATGCGGATGGAAGCCAATTAAGTTACACCTTGCCTTTCTCCTCCATACGAAGGCAGGTTTCTCGCCATTCACAGTTGAGTTCAGCTCTTTTCAAATTTACAACTCATGTTTAACATGAATATATACTACACATTTTGAATATGAAATATAGTGACCGGAAAACTGTATATCAATTTTTTCATCTCCGACTCTAGCCAAAAAAAAAGACCCAAATAAACCACCTTTAATTTGGAGGATTAAAACTTATGCCATGGTTAATTTGTTAAGTGGATACTTCTTCAGTTAATAAGCATTAAATCTAAAAAATAGCGCTAGTCGCTGCTTACCAATAGAAATGGTGGCTTAAAAACCGAAGAAACAAATAGCGTCACTCTTCCAGCACATAGTTTTAAATGGCGAATGGCGAGGCGAGGCGATTGGCCCATTGCCTCGCCACGAGGCGAGGCAAATCGCCATGGCGAGGCCTCGGCAACACATGCCATCAAAGCTTAAATATATAGAGTAATATCATACATTTAAGTTCAAGTACCAAAAATAACCTTACATATCCTAAAAAATATAATGTAAATTAAATTTAGTTGTAATTACTAAAAGCATCTAAAACTTAAAGGTGAATGCTAGTAACATTACAAAGCAAAAATATTGAATTTACACTGTGTAGTAAACATAAAATAGAAAAAAGTTAAAGAAGGCAAATAAAAAGTGTAAAATAAAAGTAAATGAAAGAAAAGATGCTGCAACCTTTCACCTTTGACTATTGACCATACTAGTAAACATAATAATAAAGAAAAAAATGAAGAAAGAAGAAAAAGAGACGGCAGAAACGGGAATGGGAAAAAGAGAAAGGGACAAGGAAAAGAAAAGAAAAGGCATGTATCATCGACCGTCTTGGCAGTGCGAGATGGTGGCCGGAGTTCAGAGGAGGTCAGAAATGGGATGGGTCGGCCTTGGGTTTCTGCAATTTTCAAATTCGAGAAGCCTAGGGAGTTCTTTCGTAGAAACCCTAGGTCGGGGAGAAGTCATTTAGAGATTTTTCACTGAGATTTTTTTGTTTTCGATCTGTTTTAATTTTATTCTCTTTCTGAAAAGAGTCGCTTTTTTTTAAAAAAAATGGGCTGCCGCTTTAATTCCTCTGAAAGGCACCGAGGCGCGCCTCACAGGCGCCTCTCGCCACGCGAAAAGGCGAGCCGAGGCGACCTGAAGCGAGCGCCTCGCGAACAGGGTCGCCTCAGGCAGTGGCGAGGCGAAGTGGCCCTCGCCTCGGTCGCCTCGCCTCGAGGCGTCGCCATGGCGTCGCCATTTTAAACTATCCAGCAGAAACACATTCTCACACAAAAGAGAGATAAGTGGAGAGTCAATCAAGGAAAGAACTGGAAAATTGAAAAACTAAATAAGTAAATAGAAACATATAATGCATTATGACACTTCATTGCCATCACACATGTGTTACCCCCTGTATGCCTTATATATTGAACTCTATCATCTTGTATGATTCAATTATCTTACCATACCAAGTCTCTTATCCTGGAAATTGATTATGATCCTTTTTCTTGTACTGCAACATTGTGGGTGTCGTTTAATATAATGGCATCTACAAATAGCATTTAATGCAATAGTTTTAACAAGGTCTGCTAGCATAGCACCAAATTTGTACACTCCCTATGGTCTTGTCCTGGACTACATGAGTATCAATGTTACCCTGTTATCCTAACACAGATCCAATAAGAGCTTGTAATGACGGAGGTTAAACAATTTTCTCCATTGATGACCTCGCCCAAGTTTCATTAACTATTTTATCAATTAAACTGTATAAGAAAGTGAATTCCAAATGTGCAATAGAATATGTTCATTCAAAGATCTCTAATTATTCAAGGTGTAGCTACTGGTAAAGCTACCTGTTCAAATTCTGTGTGATATTTGATGAGGATATAATATTGTACCCTGTTGAGAGTCGTTTTCGCCAACTTTGGTGTGTTGTTTAGGGTGTGATTAGTGTTTTAAGATGAACGAAAATAGGAAAAGAAATTAGAAGATAAGACAGTCGACGAATTGATGCGCCTGCATCGGTTTGTTTGGTAAAACCAACATAGTATCCTTAGTCCAGTTACGATACTTGACTATATGTAAACGGGTTAGGGGGTGGCTTCTTCATCTGAGTTAAACGAAACATCTTCGGTACAATTGCTTGGTTCGGCTGTAAGATATCACAGACGGAGGCGGCTACAATAGTGAGAGAGAGCATGCCTTGAAAGATAAGGTTGAGTGCTCATCCTTGGTGAGGCCGATCTGATGATGAGACGATTTTAAGGATGACCTTACCTGTTGCTTGAGGATGTCTCGTTTGACTTCTAGACTTATCTAATGTAAAGGTTTTATTTAGAGAAAGACCATGTAGAAGTTTTTCTAAGTGCAACTCATTCGTGCTGACTAAGGGCTTAGGAGTATGTAAACTTTGAAGTGATTCGTTTGTACCGATGCAAGGGTTGTATATAAAGTAGTTTAAGTCGATGTAACAATTTAGGTTGATTGATTAGAAATGAGAAGTTGAATTTTGAAAATGAGTTTTAAATATTATCGCAATTAGAAGCCGATGTAACTATTTGTGGATGTATTTTCAGGAGTCCCCTTCCAAGCCACAGGACCCTATACTATACCATTTATAGAAGGGGGACCTTTAAAATATATTAGTACGATACCCGTAGACTACACGAGTTATTGTTAAGAAAATTATATTTAAAATTAAATATAATAACAACAAAAACTGTTTTAATATTTAAATAATTTTTTGAAAAAATATATATTATTTGTATTTAAAATGACACCGTCACTTACACGACGTACCATTTTATATTATACTTTTTTTTAATTTATATCATATAACTACTTTGTAGCTAAGTTAGTTGAAAAATTTTATTTTTTCGAATTAATATTAATAGGTAATTAATATTAATAGATAATTTAATTTAATTATAAAGATATATAAAGTATTTATTTATTTTGTATGTATAATATAGATGTCAAATCGAAGCTCATCAAGAACATAATTAATTTGATATATTATATATACAAAATGGTCAATAAATAAAAAAATTCATTAACTTTCAAATATATTTATAATTTAAGTTAATATGTTTGTTATAATTTTAAAAGAAATATGAGGAAAAAAGAAAGATTTGGAAAAAAAGTTATACCTTATAAACCACGTCTTTGATATTAAAACATAATTAATGCTCTTAAAAAGGACCATAAATATCCATTATGGATATTCCACGCCTAGTTAATTTTGGATTGAAAATAAATTAAAATTCATCCAAACCAAAAAACAAAGCTTAAAAATTTGTCACATAGAATCCCGAAGCGTGCGAGCCTGCCACTTAGGCTCGGGACATTCGAAAATTATATATAGGGGGATTATAACGGCAACAAGTGGCAGACTCCAAGAGGTCAACTACGTGCAGTGTGACGCGTGTCCCCCCAAAAAAAAAGCCAAATCCTCTTCCCGTCCCCATCCCCAAAGCCGGAGCCGGAGGTGACTCGCTAGCCTTTTTTAAAGAAGTGTTTTCTTCCTTTGTGTGCCGACATGAATTTGGCTGGTAGTTGTGCCAACTTGATCAAGTGGCTTATCTCTTTGGGCAGTTCGAACCGGTTTTGAGCGACAACCATTTTCACATCAGTATTTAGCAGAGACCCGGGATGAAAGAAGTTCCGTTGCTTCTTTGGGTCGGCGTCTTACTCTGGGTCTTTGGGATATGGCTTTTCCTAAAATTCGTCGATATTTAGCAGGCTTAACCCAGATCAACAGATTTTGGGTATAACATACCTTACACAAAACTTGAGTGAATTGTGATGTCTATGCCATAATAAAGTTTCTCAGAATGCTGCTTCCAAGATAGATTACTTGTTGACATACCTTAGACCTATCCATTAGTACAAGTAAATAAATTGTATGCATTCTCCCAACTAAATCACAATTCAAATGTGTGAGGTTGAACATATAAAAGCAGCAGGGGTCCTTTCATATACTTTTGTTCCTACTTAAATAATAAACCAAGTACTCATATGCCCAAGAGCGGTGTAGATGCACTTTCAGTAGATAAGCACATATATTGTTGTCCCTCATAAAATGTAATTCTTTCTTATACGAGGGTGTGATGACCTTACTGTCAGCAATTATTCAGTTATCAGAATTCAGAAATGAACTTATGTTAACTTTAGCCCTTCTGCTTTCCACTCTTAGTAGTGGAGAACTAGATGAAATCATTTATGCCACCATAACAACGGAAGAAAAACAAACTAAGGCTCCTCCTGCTGCCGGTGAATTCTCTTTCACATGACCCTCTCAAAGGATATACTAGCTGTATAATCATCATCTTGACTCGCACTCCCAACTGATTGAACTGACTAGCTAGTTTGCATTTATATGGGAAGCAACCCAATTGAAATTTGGGTTTAGACTCCTCTATTCAGTTTCATCAATCCGCACTAGTTTCTTGTGGTAGCAAATCATCATCATTGGTCTAAGAGGGTAGCAGCAAAGATAAAAATTGTTCGAAATCTTTTCTTTGGAACAGATAAATGTCACAGTTTTATAGACATTATATTAGAAAACATAAAGTATTACTCAAAACTATTCACTACAAAATGCTATAACTCATTTCTAATAAGTATCGCATAATTTCTAATAGCAGCAAAAATATCAAAAACTATACCTCAAAACAAAGCTGTACATACAACCAGCACTATATTCAATCAATCAATCAAGTCGTTAAAATCCCACTAAGTGGGGTCGGTTATATGGATCACATGTCGCCATCGTGCTTGATCAGAACACATACCCTCATTCAAATTTAAATAATTTAAATCATTTTTTATTGTCTCCTTCCAAGTTGTATTAGGTCTACCCCTTCCCCTTTTAATTTGCGTTCTTAATTCTAATGTTTATACCTGGGGCCTCGAAATCTCTCCCACGCACCACATGCCCAAAGAATCTTAATCTTGATTCTCTCATTTTCTCCTCTATGGTCGCTACCCTATCTTTATTTCTAATACTTTCATTTATAATCTTATCTAACCTAGTATGCCCAAACCAGCACTATATTCAAAAGCAGATTAAATTCTGTAGGGCTCAATGTAATCACTCACTTCAGTCTCCATTCTCACATTTTCACACAATACTTATAACTTATAAGTAAAAATTCCTCAAATTTTCACTATATGTAAAAATGCCAGCTACACACCGACAAAAGAGACAGAAAATCAGAAAAAATAAAAATAACTGGCATCAAATTTATCTTCTGTCTCTTTTCTCAAGACAAGGGTGTCATAGTGTGTAGCTGGATTTTGTAACTCACAGGCAGAAAAGTTTACTTACTCAAAAACAGGACCGTTGTATTTGCTTGAAGTCACCATGAACCCTGAAGACTCCGTCTTTGGCCTCAGTGAAACCGAATGAATCCCCAGAGCATCAGGATACAAGCCACAAAGAAAATGCAAAGACTCTTTGAGCTGTGGCTTAGAAATATCAACGTAAACAAATAACTGGTTGACGCTGTCTTCACCATAGTCCTCTCCAGAACCTCCAGGGATAACGTCAACCATTCTCATTACTGATATATTAATCTCCTCATCCTGAAACATCCGCCTTAGAACAGGACCCCCACTATCAAGTGCCCCCTTTACAACTGTGTACGGAGAAGGGGGACTAATTTTCTGTGAGAAAAGAAAGGATTATACACGACAGGTAAGTCACAAGATACCAAGAGTTTCCCATTAGACATCATTATATGCATCACAAGAATCATTGTAATTGATAATTAGTGTTCCTTACGGAAGTATCAATAGATATACTGCGAGGCACGTAAAATACTGTAAACAACTAGTGAGGAACTGAAATAATCAACCGAATATCAGTTATCACACAATTTCAATGTGACATATAACAGCACTTAGGTCAACAAGTGTCCATACATTCTGATTTATCCTAAACCTGTCACTGAGAACTGGTGTATGTAGTAAAAACTCCATCTTTGTGAAAGTGCAATAGAAATCTAGATATGAAATAAGCAGGAAACCTGGTCAAATAAACAATTTAATCCAGGATGGCACACTCTGCAATTTGCAAACATGCTAACAAAAGCACCCATCTACTTCATATCAATAACCTAATATTCACCTGATGCATCTACAACTGGTTAGTCGCCCGAATATTGAGAAAACAAGAAGATAAAACATGTTTTTGCGTTTGGACCGAAAAGCAATAGAAGCACAAAGGGAGAAAAACGATAACCATACTTAGACTGTCTCGCAGTATGTACACAGATTTTATCATAGGACAGTAAAAACAAGTACACAGATTTTATCATATGTACCCATACTTAGACTGTCTATCTGCAGTGCTGACCATCACCAGCTGTGAGATGGATAACAAGAAGATGAAGACGAGTCAAAAACTAAGAGTTTCGCTACGAATTCAACTTTAACACTTGAAAAAACGAAGCCGCTCAAAAGACAGAAAATTTGAGTCAAATAAACCCTGGAAAATTCTTAACAAAAGGACACTGGACATTTCCAAACGATTAAGCTTCAATCCACTCATGCTTAAGTACACAGAGCAAACAGACAAAGAAAAATTAACCAGGAAAAAAGTGAATAGGAAAAAAGAAATGAGAGATGGGGAAACTGGTTACAGGTGGAGGGGTCATCTTGGAGACTTCGAGGTAGTGATCTTTCAGGGAACGGAGGATCATGGAGTTCACTGTGTATGAAGCGGTGGACGACGAGCGAGATGTTATCGTGCGCCACGGCTGTAAAAGTGAGCCACCAGTGCACTTTAGCGCCTTCCTCAACATGATTTCGAGTTTCTTCTGCTGGTTTTCCGTTCCTCTTTCCTTTGGCAGCTCCAAAGAGGGTTTAAGGTTTTGAGGTTTAAGCGGCACACTACCGGGTAAAATCAATCGATTGGGCCTCAGATCATCTGGCTAACTTTAGAGTATACACAATGTTAGTCTAATTTTACTTATGTGGCATATAAATAGATTCAAGTCTTAAATAACATAGATAAAATTATATAAAAATTACACATTCTACTCCAATACAAAGAGATCGGATCTCTACTTGGATCTAAAATAAACTTAAGAGCACCCACAATGCTTTGTGTCTCTTTTTGTATATGTGGCATATAATTGGACTTGAGTCTTAAATGATGTGGACAAACCCAAGTAAAAAACTTCAATAACTTTGCAATGCAAAAATAAAAATACTAGGTCTAACATATATGTCAACCAATAAAAACGATCTAATATGTTTTTTTTATTAAAAGAAAAATTAAAGTAGGAATAAATGATTAGTGTTTGTGTTTGTACTTGGGGTCCAAAATAGACCCAAGTGTGGACTTAGTCTCTTTTTTTATTGCCACATAAGCTAGACCATGTCCACTTTTAATTGCATTGGGAAGCATTTTTGTATAGACTATGTCTATTTCTTACATGGCATGTGATTTTTTATCAAGAGACCCAAAGCATTGTGGATGCTCTAAGAGGAGATCGAGTCTTCTTTTCTTGCTGTCACATCAGCAAGACTCAGTTCACTTTCCCTTGCATTGTAGAATATATTTTTTTAGGCTGAGTCTATTTCCTATGTGGCATGTAAGTTTTTTTTAATGAATCCAAATCATTGTAGATGCTCTTAGCTTATGTTAGAGGTTTAAGCGGCCCACTACCAATATGAACAAAGAAAGAGAATTTTGCACCCCATACAATTATCCATATTAACTAGATAATTAATTGATAAAATTGCCATATAACTAACTAAAACAATTATTATTTAATATTGCATCGCACGGGCTACACACTGGTTGTTTTAAATTAATGCTCACAATTAGTGTTATAAACGAATCGAACCGAGTCGAGCTTAAGTAGTTCGAGCTCCTGTTCGTTCGTTTATTTTTCGAACAAAAAATCATGTTCGAGCTCGTTCGTTTAATTGTTCGTCAACGTTCGAGTTCGAATAATTTAATACATAAACGTTTTAAATATGTTTGATTAACTCGAAATTTGTTTGCTCGAACTCAAAAATAAAAAAGTAAAATAAAATATTTTATTTTAGATTTTTCATTAAAAATATTATGTAAATATATGAAAAGAAAAATAAAATTATACTAAATTAATGTTCGCGAACGAGCTCGTGTTCGTTCGATTATAAAACAAGTCTAATTTTCTGTTCGAACTCGGCTCGATTAACAAACGAACGAACTTTTATCCAACACAAACGAGCTCGGAAGAGTTTTTGCTCGTGAATATTCAATTCGTTTACAGCTCTACTCACAATTATTATCAAACGTTCACAAACAAGTTTGTGTTCGTTCAACGATTAAACAACCTAATTTTTGTTCGAACTCGACTCGATTAATAAGAACATGAAGAGCAACCAGCTTCACAAACACTCAGAAACTAGTAAGGTATAATTTCTTTCAGCCATCTTTTCACTTTTCAGTTAGTAAATCAGTTACAACTTACAATCATCCACCAACCAATTCCTTCTTCCGCTATGCAGCTAGCCTGTTTTTAGTGCACAGCACAACTACACCAGTACATCTTTGGGAATCAGCTTTCGCCCATATTATGCTACACAATGGTACACGCACACACGACACAATTACAACGCTATTATACTCAATGTCAAGATACAAATATCATTGTTAAAATCGACACAAGGCGCAAACAATGTCCAAAATCGGAACTCGCCTTGTAAAAAATTCGCCAAAATACCAAAGAAACAAATTATGAAAAACCAAAAAAAAACCAAATTAGCCAATACAGAGAAAGGCTCGACCCCTTCACTTCTTGCGATTCTTGCTTCTGCTGATCTTGACAATCTTTCGACCAGACTTGTCACCACCTCCACTGCCCAACGAGAAGTTCCCTCCCACATTGAACTCCAGACTGGCCGACGCCTGAAAAGGATTAGGGTTCTGGGGAGGCACAGCCACCCCAATTTGATTCTTCTGCTGCCCGCCAAACAGAAATGGGCTGGGCTGCCCGGACTGCCCGAATGCAAAAGCAGGCGCCACCCCTGGCTGACCAAACGGCAGCTGCTGTTGCTGCATGGGATTATCTTCAGCCATTCTGTTCTCCACACTCATCTGATCCACACGCCCAAACGAATTGAAAACGTTCGTTGAAGGAGCTGATGATGATGATGATGGCAATGCTTCGAACGAGAATCCAGACGTTAATGTATTGGAGGAACCGAATATTGAAGACTGCTTGGGGACTTGCAAGCTGGCTGCAAAGGGATTGCTGTTGCTAGGAGCACTGGAGAAGGAGGGTGCCGAAGAACTGTTCGTAGTGCTGCTGCTAGTTGAAGAACTGAGGCCAAAAGCAAAGATGCCAGGAGTAGGAGTAGTAGCAGCAGAGGTTGAGCTAACCGCATTTGCTTCTGTAGAGTTGGCGCCGAATTTGACTCCACTAGGACTGTTGCTAGGTTTTGAAACTTGGGAAATAGACTGAGCAGTGGACGAAGTGCCTTGCGAGGCAGTTGAGAACAAGCTTGGCAAGGGAGATTTAACGGCGCTAGCAAAGACCGAGGTATGAGAGGCTGGCGAATTGAAGGGAGTGGCCTCACTTTTGTTGGCTTCAGGATTTAAATCTGCTTGAGAGATTTTGCTAGTAGTCGATGCTGCTGGAACTGAAGTAATTGGATCTGCAGAAGTACCAAAGTTGAAAACGGGGCTACCCGCTGTAAATGAAGGTTTTGCTGCAGCCAGTCCGAAAATTGGGGTGCTGGTCGAGCCATCACTGGCCAAAGAGTTAAACGGGAAAGCATTACTACCCTTGAATATCTGATTTGTGTCGTTAGAGAGATCTGATGTTGTAGTAAATGACGCTGGAGATGGTCGTATTGATGTCGTTGAGGGAATGTTGTCGGATTTTCCATTTGCATCTCCTGCCTCGAAAGGGTCCATAGAACTTTTGTCTGCCTCGGAAACTTTGACTTGAGATCCAGTTGATGGAGGAGTGTTGACCGAACTGCACAGTTAATGTTAAGAAACTATGTATTATGTAATGTTGACATCCAAATGAATGTAATCTGGAAAAGCACAATACTTGCCCCGGAAAATATACAGAATTATTTTCCTAGTTGTCAATCAATACTTGCGACAATTTTCATAGCAGATTGTTTGCAAGATGAAGCTTTACCATCATTGGTTTATACTTAATATTCACACTCTTCTGGTTACTACCATTATATAGCTTTTAGATAAAATATATCGGCGTCTGTACTCAGACAAGCTAGGAAGTCCAGATTTACCTCTATTAAGTCAAGATAGCAAATACAAAAATGATGGTTTGGGATTCCAAAATGTTGTAAAGATCAAAAGTATAATATTATTATATCTAGTAAAAAGGTGCACATTCAAATTCCTCATAACAGCAGCTCACGGCAACTGTTCAGACAAAAACAAATTTTATACGAGAACTAACCAGCTGGTGCTTTTAATCTTTGCATCCATCTCTCTGTTGGAGTCAGAAGGCAATGAAGCACCCTTTTCAACAACTTTAGAGCTGAAGCTGAACAATGGAGCATTAGGTTTGTCAGCAACTAACACCGGAATAACTGATTGCGAAGCTTCCTTTGTCTCCTCAGATGTTGACAAGGAAACAATAGTACTCATTTCTCCAGGTGCGACAGTACCACAATTAGGTGGACTTTCATTTCTTGAGTTTTGGGGCAAAGCTGACTGGTCTTCTGCCTTCATTGACGGTTTTACCAGCTTTGGTTCTTCAGAAGGTGTAGCATGGCTATCTGTCAGTGGAGCATCCATTGGTTCTTTGCTTTCAGAAATTGATCTTGACACAGTCCCATTACAATATGTATCATACTCTGGCTCAGAATCCTACCAAAATAGAAAACCCAAAACATCAAAAGGATTACAAGATCCATCGAACAGAACTGAGCGTAAAATGGTGGTTCCGTGGTTTTTCTGACTTTGAAATTTGTAAGAATACGATCATGTAAACACAGGTGAATATGCCAAAGATGACTAATACTATGTTATCAGAACCGCCAGCCAGCACAACATAAAACCCAAAAATGAACAAGTGGACATATCAACAATAAAGTGAACAAGTCAGATATTGTCAGCTTGGACCAACTCAAATGATATAAAACAGAAAAAATTATGGCACATCAAGATAGCACTCACATTCACACACATAATATAATAATAATAATAATTAAAAAATCACCTCTTGAGCACTCATCCTAAAAACTCTCTTCTTTTGAGGATGAGATGCACCAGTTTTTACCAAAGAACCACTACCACTGGTACTAGGCACAGAATCATTATTGGAGGCAGGGTACCACTTGTCCAACGGGGAAACATATTTATTATGGCCATTTTCCACTACTTTTTCTTCCTTTTGCTTACAGAAATTACGAGCATTAGCTAAAGTGATATTTGACCCGTCCCCCAACTTCTGATCATCCTGAAAATTCAACAATTTTGACGAATCCACATCTGCCATACTCTTGAGAGCTTGTCCAGAAAGCATACTAGCTGTCAATGTCGAAGGCGATTTGTCATTCCGAGCAACTAACTTGGGCACTGATGATTTCTCCTTTGGGGTCATTTTTTCAAGGTGCTGCAATATTTTGGAAGCCACCTCACTAGACTTGGAAGGAACATGAGGATAACTGGAGATTGGTACAGTTTCATTCTCATTTTCTCCAACATCTTTGGATGCTTTATGGCTTTGTTCGTCGATCAATGGAAACTTCTGCTTTGCAGGAGAACCAATTACCACTCCAGGAGTAGTATTATGAAGTCCAGAAACTAACAGATTAGGTTTTTGTCGTATTCTCCTTATGGGACCAATGGAGCCAAGTTCATCATCTAAGACAGAACCTCTTCGTTTTAGGCTCTGGAATCAAAACATGTATGAATATCAGAACCCCATGAGATAAAACATACAGTAACAAAATATTCTTCAGTTGCGTAAAAATTTCAAAGATCCTTATTATATACCGTTGGGCGAAAGTCAATATTTTCATCAATGTCTACTGGAGAAAAAGATGAGGATGTCGATGGTCCAGATCCAGCATAACCATTCCGACAAATACCACTTCCCTGAAAGTAGCCACATATGAAAATACCATGTTAAGAGAGAAGTGAAAAGCCACATTTAAAGATATACATAACACAAATTGAACCTTGAGACTGGAAGTTAGATGAACTTTGGAGTATGGTGTACGAGCCATATTGTAGATAGCTGATCTGCCACGTGATCTTGGGGTTATGAAGCCATTATCAGGGGCAACCATGCTGTTACGGGTCTTCTTATTCAATGCAATGATAGGTGACCCTAAGGTAGATGGCAAACTACTAAGCAACCCTGCATCTCCCTTACCAACTCGACTGCGTATTGCTAGCACTGATGGCGATACCTTTGAAGGCCTACTTCCCATATAAGCTTTTGCAAGTTCAGCAGGTGAAGCATTATCATCCTCAATAACCTGGAGGCATTCTTCATCAGTAATATAAGTCATGCTGGCACACTAGCAGTATGAAGACACTACAAGACAACAATTGCCTAGTAATACCACCATGGTGAAAAAGGATGCATGTGTGCATGCACGTCTAACATATACTTACTTTTGAATTGACAAAAGGAGTAGACATAAAAGTGGAAGACCTATTCCTCTCATTTCTGTTTTCTTCCAAGAGCCCACTCGCAAATTGTTGATCTCTTGCATAATCTGAAGCAGTATCTTCATTTTTTCGTCCTACATCCTCAAGTGATTCGTCTGCAACTCTTGATTGCAGCAGTTTTCTCAGATGAACAATTTCAGATCTGCAGCCACAAGTTTCCTATTAATAATCAACCTACCCAAAGAAGAGCACAATTGAATGTATACAGAAGTTAATTCCTTTGAGTAGCAAAAACATGATAACAAATTTTGGACAGCATAATTACATGTTCAACTAAGATCAAAGAGTTCAAGAGTCAGACATGTACATACACAGCACGAACAAAAATGTATTTCATATTAACCTACCAAAAAAACAAGGAATTTTCCAAGAGATAAATACTCAATGACATTTTTTTTCAAAAAGGAAAAAGAAAAAAGAAGAAAAAAAAAATCATCAATGACAAGACTGGAATATTAAGAGAAAAATTGTATCACTGCGTGAGGAAAAAGATGTGTGTCTACAATTACTCGAGCAGAAGGGAGAAGACAAATAGTAAAACCAATCCCAAATCCTTATGAAACCTTACCTGGTGAAGGTTCTTTGCTTCATTAATTGCTCAAGCTCAGAGAAGTCACGGCTGCTAGAATCGTTGATTGGCTGACTGCAATCACCACCTACAGGTTCTTGGGGTCCATCATGACTCTACAAGCAAAAAGTTATAACATGATTTACTCTTGCACCGGGACATGTTATCTACATAGAAGGAATATACTGCTACTAGAAATATTAAGAAATACAAGCTACCAATAAGTGTATCACCTACACAACTACAGTAAGTCCAAAGGAAAGAACCTTACATGATATACATGTTTGATCAATCATGTACATCTCTCAAGAGATCTACCAATGATCATCAAATGGGAGTCAAATTAAAAGGCATAAATGTGGGGCTTTGGTGGCATATATCTAACAGAACTAAACCCACTGAAACTCAATATACCCGACTTTTTATCAAAATACAACGACAAGTTTTTATGCAGATAATTCCTATATTCAGGCTACAGAGACAACAGCCTCCTAATCTAATCCACTCCACCTCCATGGAAAGTAAATATATGGAGAACTAATAGTCAATACAATCAGACTCAAAAGATTCTGAAATATGAGGAGAAATAAAGTAAACTAGCAACAACAACAACAACAACATACCCAGTATATTCCCAACAGGTTGGGGTCTGGGGGGTCAGTTGTACTCAGACCTTACCCTTGTAATTATACAAGGAGGCTGTTTCCGTAGCGACCCAAGGTGCATTGCGCCGTTTGATATATTTTTTTTTTCTAGAAACTTCACTAATAGAAGAAGCACTAGAATTTAATTGAGCCATTTTGATCTAGTCCATTATTAGCCTATGGCAGGAGAATTGTCAACAATGACTCTTCCAGCTCCATTTGCAATGGACAACAAATAAAGTAAACTAGATGGAAGAAAATTGTAACAGCATGTCAGCATCACATATTCCATGGCACACAAACTTAATTAGAGATCCACACTAAAACAAGAAACCCAAAAGGCAATATTCTACACTACCAAGAGTTTTTGCTTACAAGTTTTCCATATACTTTATTCTTTTATAACTAGCATTAATGTATTCCCAGGATATACTTAATAAACTGTATGCAATGGATAAATTTACTATTGAAATTCATTGGGCTAACTTGAAAATGAGATAATGCTGAGCAACTCCCAACTAAGTTTCTGGAATCTTAACAGGACACATAATGAACTGCTCAGGGCTGCCAAGCTGTATAAGAACAATAAATTCTAAAGTCATTTGATCATGTGTTTCACCAAGAGTGTAAAATCTACAAACTATAATACATTCACAAAGACAAGGAGAGGAGACAATATGAACGGAAACAAATTATCTTCGAAGTCAGTATACTGGCATGCACCATAAACCTCAACAACAATAACTGAAGTAAAATAAAACTTCACAAAATTTGGAAGTGATGCAACATATCTCTGGGTTCATAATCACTATCTAATACCACTAACTTCAATTGACAGTATCAAAATGGTTCACTTGAACCCACATGTAACTCCTCATTAAAAACTCCCACCCCCAGAATGGAATATATACAACAACAACAACAACAACAACATAGCCTTTAGTCCCAAGCAAGTCGGGGTAGGCTAGAGATGAAACCCAAGAGAAACACAAAAAGACTCGAACCGAAAGGAAGAGATCGAAAAAAAAAACGAGAGAGAGAGAGAGAAAGGAGCAAAAGTTACAATAGTATCAACTGCCCAACACTTTCCAATAAAGTTACATGTTCTACACAAAGCAACACTTTCCAATAAAGGATATCTGACACTTCTTTCGGACACCCCTTAGTTTCCACCAAAACCATATATAATTATAAACAATTAATATTAAATGAATCCATATGCAAAGTGATTGCATCAGTATAATACAAGCTTGACAATATATTGAATAGATTTTTTTTCTATCTACAAATAAACTATAACAAATAAAAATAGAAATGGTCTGAAAACATGGAAAAGCAAATAATCAAACTTACATTAAGAACAGCCACTTGAATCCCATCACGGACATCAGCTTTTGCCTCTATTTACAACAGAAGATACATGTAATTAGATAATCCACATAGAAAGTTATGTACATTGTACACTAGAAAACAATGGCAATTCAGAAATATTCAACTTCACAGCACTCATACTAAACAAGTAATACTGTACAACCAGAAAAAAACATTAGTTATTCACATAACAGCCAGGTAACATGCTACCAAGTCCTTTAAAATGGCCGAATTGTGTTTAGGTTCAAACCTAATCACTTTTACTAAAAAGATACAGATATTGAAGAAGTGAGTGGAAATGCAGTAGGTGCTCGAGATTCAACCGAGGCAGATCTCACGAATATCTGGTACTTACTCCATTGTCAATATTCATAATAAAACAACAAAAGAAATTTACAAAACAAAAAAGCCTTAAACATGCAAACTATACATGATTTCCGTAAATCGGTAGGGAGCTTGAAAAGCAAACTCGAATTCACCAAAGATGTAAACTCTTTTCTTAGATATTTCTCATTGCAACAACAACCTGAATTAAAGAAATCAATGCAAGTAAAGGAACGAAATTTTCATGTTCTTCTGAGATGGACATGCAGATTCACCAATTACCCTAATCAGATTGAATCAAGTTCAGAAAGGAAAGAATAATTTTTTTTTAAAAAAAAAAAAGGCATAAACAAACAAAATTAAGGTAACTAAAACATAATAAAAGGAACAGCAGTCCTATGAAACTAAAGCATAACGAACTATAGTTAAAGAACATATTTTCGGAAAAATAAAATTACAAATACATATATAAACCTGGCGGCTGAGGAGGCGGAGTCGGCGGTAGGCGCTTCCGAAGTAGCGGTGCGAAAAAACGATCCGCCCCATAGGAAATGAGCTTAGAGGCGGGTTCTACCACTAGCTTTTTCAACCAGCTGCTATTGTTATCATTGTTTCCTAGGAGTGCAGTTAATGGGCGATCGTACGGAGTCGTTGGTCTGCGAAACGGCTTATTCCGTAACTTACCGCCGGCTCCTCCACCACCGTAGGCCGAGGAGGTGGGATTGACAGTAGCTCCGCCTTCGTCCGCCATCGTTATTTGTTCGGTTTTGAAAGTTCGCGTTGTAGAGAGAGGGAGAGGGGCCAAAACAAGGGCACAGGGCAGACGAATTAGGGTTCTGCACGCTGAATCATTCAATTTTAAATTCTACTAGCATGAACGGCACATGCCAAATTCCGGCCGGGACGGGTCCGGGTTGCCGGGTTCAAAACGACCGCTCGTGAATCAGCTTGTACCTCAGTACGAGTCCCGTAAAAAAAATTGAAAAAAATCTGGCCGTTGATTTTCCAACCGGCCTAATTTCTCGGACCACATGTTATATATATGACCCTGAACCGACCGATGTAAATTGGAGCAGGCTCCAACCCGTGATCAACGGGTTGGACCTAACTGCGTTCCTGCCAGCTTTCGACAAGTCAAGTGACCTATGTCCATGTCTCTGGACGAAATATAATATAAAAAATTTTATTAATTAATTATTACTAAATTATGTAGGAAAATATTTCAAATTTATTCGACACAGACACGTTTAATAAGGACATTTACGTTTCATATCATTCATTTAATCATCAATTACAATCTCTATCATCAACGTCATGTCTACATTATAATTTCATTAAATATGTCTCCATTTAAATACTCTTCTACATTCTTTGAATAATTTGAATGCAAATATATAAGACTCATTATCCACTTATTCAATATGAGTTTTAATATTCTATTTTTAGTAAAAATAAAAATTTAATATTTTCAAATTATAATATTAAATTTTAAATGCACGAAAATATAAAGAACACTACATGACAATATAAACTTTTTTTTTTGCAATTATATAGACTTTAAGATTACAAAATAAAATAGTAAAATTAAAAAAATTAACTTTTTTACTTTGTAGCAAAATGATCCAAGTAAACCGATTCCCAATCCATCTGATCGGGCTGTTCGGTCTAGTACAATTTCGAAAACAATGGATAAATCATAATTAACGCTATTTATATATTTAATTTATAATACAATCGTAGTATTGCTTCTTCGTACATTGCACGACCACAGAGCTGTTAAACTAAACGAGTCTGGATCGGCGGCTCGACTAATTAAAGCTCGAGGTCGAGGCTTTAACAAGCCAAACTCGAGGTTATTTTAAGCTCATTTGGTTAACAAGCCGAGCTGAGCTCGTTAAAGCTCGAAAAAAGAGAATTTTTATATAATTTAATCTAGTTCAACTCATTAAAGTTCGAGATTGGCTCGTTAAAGTTCGAACTCAGTTCGACAGAAAACAAGTAACGAGTGCAAATGTTAGTCCAGCCAACAGCATTTATGTCAATATACAGGCCAAAAATGGCAGCCTGTTCACAAACAAAATGCGATTGAGCTTTTTCTCTGCACTAAAATGGTAAAAATAAACAAATAAATAAACAAATATCAGTACCGTTTAAAATGTAGTAAAAGTTTAGCAGTGTGTTCATTCTAATAAATCATGAATCATCTGCAATGGCACCTCTATCCACCCAAATCTCAAAGCCCATTATATCCAACCCAGGCACACGAACAAAATGGAAGCAACATCACATGTCAAGAAACAGGTGCTCAAATTATGCCTTTCCACATTGCCTGAATACAATATTACAAGGAAAAAAAGAAAGAAAGAAAAAAGAAAAGAGAGAAGGTATTCTAGTGTCTTCATGCAGTATACAAGATAACTTATGCAACAAAAAACAAATAAAAAGAAAGAAAGAAAGAAGGAAAGAAATAGAAGGAGAGATCGAAACAGTAATGGTTAAATGTGGGTGGAGCGACATTTCCAATATTTTCAACGCTCTCCATGCCCCAGCTTTTCTTTACTCAACAAACTCACAACACCATAGATTCTCCCAATGAAGGGCAAAAAGGGAAAAAAAGAATGACGGGAAATGAAAGAATCATTGCAGGAGGAGGATTATGTCAGTTTCAATGCCTCCCGAATATTTAAGCTGAAGCTATTCTCCAATCCTCTTTTACCAGCACCAGATATTGGGTTCCCCTTTTGCATCATAGTAACAAACTCGTTATAATCAATACGGCCATCCTGTAAAACAAGTTATAAAGAGATAGTGTCATATATTTAATCATGAAATAACGTGACCCGGATTGGACATAACTCGGTTAGGGTCCAATTTGATATATAATGATTGGTAATCAAAATTATGCGAATGGGTGAATATTGGATTTTGCGGGAAAAAACGATTAGTATGATAAAAGATCAAATGCAAGTGATGGGCAGGTAGAAAAAGGTTAAAAGCAATTGATTTTTTTTTTCCCTTTATTCGAATAACATCTCCTGTGCAACTGTAAATTTTGGAGTTGAAAACAATAAAATATATAGCATCAATTTGTAGCAAAAACCAAGAACTCACATTGTCCTGGTCAACTTCTCGGATCATCTCTTCAAGGCGAGAATCATCAAAACCAAACTCTTGACAAGCTTGTTGAAGCTCATCAGGGGTGATGTAACCACTCCCATCTTTATCGAAGTACGAGAAAGCAGCAAAAAGGTGATCCTCTCTCTCGATTTTGTTGAGATGCAATGTTGCGGCTATAAACTCTCCATAATCAATTGTTCCACTGTTATCGACATCAGCCTATATTTATATTTCCCAGTAGAAAATTTATTTCAGAATNCAGCTGCTGAGATGTACGAAACATGAAAATTCGAATAACATAAGATTGATGTGAAGAAAAACAAATTGTGAAGTCTGCTATCCTTTTTCAGCTTCGTTGTGTTGTGGTTAGCACTAAGAAAGTGCTTGCTAAGTCTGCCTTATACTTTCCTTTTACATTTGTGGTAAAATTAGGCCACTTACTAAGTTATGAGTATATATAGTTAATATACATATCCTATCGTACCCTCATTTTTTAAACCAATTTAACGTCTGTTTAAATTCTCCACACCCCAATTTACTTAAACTGATAGGGGTATAAAGGAAATGTACTTTTCCTTCTTATGTTTTCCAATGTCAGTAATGAACTTTTCTTAACCAATGTGCCAAAAGAAAGGGCCAATTGTACAGCAGTACAGGGTTATTAAGGACAGTTCAAATCCTAATATAGCTATTCCTGAGCCATTTTGGCATATTACTAGTCTATCTTAGAGTAGTCATTTGAGATCCTTCACTTTAATCCACTCTCCAGATCAAAAGCTTCCAATCCTAAATTATTACCTAATGCAACCTTACATAATATGCTTCTATTCAAGCCAACATGTAACCGTGTGCATATTCCCCTCTTGTCCTCCTTTCAAACCAAGAAGCACAAATAAAAACTCAAATAAGTAAAACTACAAAGAATGATATATCTTGTGACTCAGATAATTACCGCTTGCATTAGATCATAAATCTCAGACTCTTTTAGGTTGGCACCAACTCTCTTTAGTCCAACCTTGAGTTCTTCAAACGTGATTTGACCACTGTTATCCGTATCTATCATCTTAAACATTTCTTTTAGCCCGGCAATTTCATCTTCAGATAGGGACTCTGCAATAACCTGCAAAATGGTACTTCCAATCAAATAGAAAACAAACTAGAATGCAAATTAATCAGAATATGTGCAGAGACGTATAAACTAGAGACAAAGTACTTACCCTAAGAGCCATTTTCTTGAGTCTATTCATTGCAGAAAAATGTTTCATGCGACTTAAAACTGCAGAGTCAAGAGGCCTGTCAGGCGCCACACCATCAACTTGAACCCACGGGTGGCCTGTCGAAATTCAAGGTTTGTATGAGCGCAAAAAAATGGCAGTTAAAATTCAGTCATCTCTCTCTCTCTCACACACACACACACACACACACACAAACACACAAACACAAAAGAAATATCATCAATCAGGGATACTTCAAAGCGCAACAATTCAAATATACTCCCTACAGATTGACAAATTGTACCTTAATAAAATTTTGTTGATAACAGCTTATAAGTTAATAAGACAGTTGGCTAGTATTAAAGTTTGAACTTCTATAAATTGCAATAGCAACTTTTCAGATCAAACTAGAATCTAAGTTACAATTGCTCATTGCTTGCTATAAAATGTAGTGTTATGTGTGATAAAATGTTTCCATTTACTTTTTTTACCCATGAACCCCCTATATGTTATTCTAGAGTGTAAGGTTCAGCTTATTCTATTTTGATCTTTCTCCTGGTTGTGATAAACCGTCCGGCTTGATCTGTCAAACGTGCCTTTTGAGGGAAATTCTATTCTAGACTACAAAAAGGGTTAAAGTAGGAACTTTCGCACTGTATTACAGCTCACCACAGCCTTCTAATTAGTATTTACTCACAAGAGGTAACATGATTTTCATGAAAATTTCAGAACAAACTGTGGTTGCAAGGTCAAGTACCAATTCAGAATTTAGGTTCTATAGCAATTGTTTGTGATAACCACTCAGCTTTTTACAACTCTCTTCCAAACCAATCTTTCATCAGAACTTAACATATTGAGAGTTGAACTTTATAAGAGAGAAAATCATCTGAGAAGGCTACATCAACAATGCATTGGGTCTAGTTTTGTCTATGTGGCATGTAAATAAACCCAAGTCTTGGTTGACATGGATAAACTATATAAGATTAACAAAATTCACTACAATGCAAATTACTTGCGTCTAAAATAGACATAAAGGGTAGACCGGTCTCTTTTTTTTTTTCTTGAGCAGGACTCAATCTACTTGCACTTGCATTGGAGAATATATTTTTTTTAGACTGAGTCTATTTCCTAGGTGGCATATAAATTTTTTTGATTGAACTCAAAGCATTGTGGTTGTGGATGCTCTTATGTGAGGTCCTAGAATATCTCAATATGTAATCTTGTTGGACGTGATTGATCAAGGGTAAATGATTTGTCTGAATTAATGGGATATATGATTGGATTGTGTTTCCATTTTAGATTGGGATCTCCTTGCATAAATATTAGGTCGAATTCGTAACCCGTAAGTGAAACGTTCCAATTCTGCTGCTGTTACCCTGAATTTTTAATATTTGTATATTTTTTTTATTAGTTACGGGAGGATTGGTCCGGAGGGAAGTCTAAATTTCTAAATAACTCTGAGGTACAAGGATGGAATCATTTATTAACCAGTCTAACACCCTTATATAAGGGTGAGAGGTACCACTTGAGATACAAGCTCGTGGAATTTCGAAATATTCGTTGATTATCTTAAATCTTAGTTTTGATTATTCAGATAAATTTTCTAACTAGTCCTCAGTATGCGTCCTAATCGATTATAGCTAAGTTGACACATTGGCAGTGGCTAGATTTGTGGAAATGACTAGGAGCGAAAACCACAAATATATTCAAATAAAAACATCTTACGTCACCACCATGCAATCGTCCTATAGATTCAAATGTACCTATATCAATTTCATCTCCATAAATACGGAAAAAAAAAGGCTATATCAGTTCCGTCTAATATTAAGCCACTGCATCGAAATAAATACAAAATAACTAACTGAAAAGGACAAGACCCAACAACTAACAAATCTAGAATGGTCAATTGAAAATCAAAACAATGTGTAGTGTAATTATAAATTAAGATTAAAACTTCTAATAATAAACTTAAAATGGTCAAACTGAAATGGAGGCCTACAGGCCTAAGCCAGAGATTGACCCAAGAGTAGTGTACTAGTGGCCTTGCTCCAGGTGCTTAGACTTTTGGGTGGACTAGACCAAGCTGACATCTTCAGTCAGCAGATAATACATGAAGTTCACGAGTTTTAAGAAAACTATTATATCTCAATACATAGTTAAAATTATTATTGAGCCATGGAAACGGTAGTTCCGTCATTTTATCACATTACTTACAAGGACAATATAGAATCACTTGAATAAAATTTAATCTATCATCAAAACTTCGATTAACATAAATGTAACAAAAAGAAGTTCCAATAAAGATATCTTATGTAATAATGAATGAGACATTAAGTCAAAATTGTGATATCTGGATACTCCTGATGAAATTGAGATACTCTACCCTATATGAATCACTTTAGTTATATATACAATCCAATTAAAGTACTTACACAGGACTTCATGGGCAGTTAAACGCCGTTTTGGGTCCCGCACGAGCATTTTCCTTACCAAATCTTTTGCATCTTGGGATATACTCGGCCAAGGGTCAGATGAGAAGTCAAGCTCACCATGCAGGACTTGCTCAAATATTCCTTGCTCGCTTTCTGACATCATTCAACGGATAAAGAGTTATTAGAAAAAACTTCATGCTTGATCAAATATTGTGCAACTTTTGACAATATAAAAGTCCAAATTTGGAACAATAAAGAGCCCGACAGATCTCACCAGCCCAAAATGGGGGAACTCCACTCAGTAAAATGTAGACAATGACTCCGGCACTCCACACATCAGCTTCAGGACCATAACGCTTTCTAAGAACTTCAGGTGCAACATAATATGGACTTCCCACCACATCATTAAATTTTTCCCCTGAAAATATGATGGTGGAGTATGGGTAAACAGACCTAAGTTCTCCGAATATCATCTTCTAATTTGAAGAATCTAGATGAGATTAAAGTTGAACGACCTACATTGCATACGTAAGAAATAAAATGTAATCCTTGAAATTCGTAATTATCTCTTTTCCAGATTCTACCCAAAAGCATAT